TGCAGTGCATACTATGCACTCCTGATTAAAGCTTGTACAGCAGCGACGAACATTCGGACGACACATTTTTTCCACTTTTTCAAGTTTTTTAGTTTTTGTCACTTTCGACTTTAAAGTTCCGAGCTCCATTTAATTTATTTTGACACCAAGCACTTGGCAATATATCTTTAAATAAGTGCTATACAAGCCCCAATATACTCTATAATCTACACATGTTATATTTAAAGCCATTCCCGAAATTTTAAATTTGATCTGATGGCGCGATAAAATTTGCCAAAAAATGACAATGTATTATAATAACTATAGTTGGGTTATGGGAGTCTTTAGTAATAATTCGATTAATATAACACAGTCAAGCAACATTGTCCGCTAGATCACCAAACCTGATACTTACAGATTTTCTATCTATGGAACCTTTAATTTATATATAAAAACAGCTTTTTGACAAATTAGTAAATTTATTAATTCATATTTATACCTAAACAAATAAAAATAAATTTATTTAATACTTTTATAATGACATGCATTTCGCCTCAGGACTTTAATATACTAATATAATATAATATAATATAATATAAAGCAAGGAGTCCATTAAGCAACCAATTTATTTAACGGGTATTATGTGCATTAGCTATTATTAGATTCTTAGGCGGGAAAATATTATAAGAATTCTCTCAATTTGCCAGAGGCATGAAAAATTGGGATCAGCGTGATTTGGGGACAAATAGCTTTTTCTACCGTAAAGAATTGCTTGTTATTAACTCAACACGTTTTTGAATGTGATATATGTACTCGCTTCATTATGGGTATATATTATGTCGCGCTATAAATCTTTTAAGTATTAGAACAAAGTTTTATTCTAAACATTTACCAAAAATTTAAATTATTAAGGCGATGTAACCAATTTTATTCATTGCACATCACCTTATTACTAGTTTTTTTATTTCGAAACTTTATCCTTGGATAATCTTTTAAATACGTAGACATTTTAACATTTGTTTAATTTTGGCAGACAATGTGGGATTTAAGTTAAATTTAGATTTTCAGACTTTCATTGTCTTCATTTTATTGATTACAAACGTTTAGATCAATAATTTTACTTACGCTTGTGCAGACTATCTTTCTAGTATACATATAAGCTAGCATCCGTACAAGACTTATTCACACCTGAAGATCATGTTTGCTCAACCACGAAATTTAAGAGTCCCGTTTTGTTGGAGAAAAGGCTTAATAACAAGTTTAAGAAGGTTTTCGTAATTTTAAAGTAATAAAGTTTAAAAGTTTGTTCATAAAAATTACGCATTATGAGAAAATGTGCCGAAAATGATTAAAATAATCTCCATTCTCTAAAAATTTACGTCAAAAATGACTAGTTATTACAGTTATTAGTGGCTGCTTTTTCACTTTTACTATGGTTAACCATGGGATACCATAGTATCCCCAACATTTAACAGCCAATTTTTATGTAAAATTGTCTCCTGAATCCGAAAATACCGTTAAAAATTAATAAAGTAGAGCAGTTTTTGAGATACACCATATTATATGGAAAATTGACTATATCTCAAAAACTCTTCTACTTTTTTAACTTTTGGCCTTTTGGATTTTACATGGAAATTGACTGCTAAATGTTTGGGATACAAATGCTATTGACGAGAATTATTAGTGGCTTATTTTTTCAAATGAACTCCAAAAACTTTTTACCAAAAACCCGTCGTGTTAACTCCGAAACGGTATTTTACAGAAAAATAATTTGATATAAATTTTAAAGGTTTTTGTAAAATAAACAACTTTTTAATTACAGGGCTCGGTTAAAAATAATTCGGGGTCAAAAAGTAATAAAATGCTCTTTTGTGTACTTAAGCGCCACCTTTTTAAATTATTTGCCTAAAACTTCGTTTTCGAAAAAAATCGATCGATCTTAATCAGCAAGGGGGAGATCCCGCAAACCGCAAAGTTAAGGTCAACCTGTTCTTATAAGCCCTTAACAATTCATACAAAAAATCTTAAAAACAGACTAACTGTACCTACTAATATATCCCTTCACCCAGTTTCTGAACAAATTCTGCTACATAAAGGTATAGCCGTACCCCAAATAAGTTTTTATTTATTCAAAAACTAACCTAAATACCTAAAGGAGATTTATAAACATGTTTTTTTGGCAATGCCCAATTGGCATGCTGCAAACAAATCCTTTTTCACAATGGAGTGCAGTTGACCCTGGATTAAGTTTGTTGGAGTTCACGTCTAAAAGTTGAAGTTTCCAAACGACTCTGGGGTCCACTTGTACTCCATAACACAAAATCTCAAAAATAAAAAAGCACCGTCTGTTAAAATAAACTCATCGTATACTTAAAATACTCAGAAGTCCAAGGCCGCAGTTCCATCTATTTCCGATATGCGCTATTTTTTAATAAAGCCAGGGTTCTTTAACATGTATGCACCAAGTAGTATTTTTAACCTTAAAAGGTTTACACAACTGTAGCTCAAAACCAATTTTTAACCCTAAGCGTTGTCAGAAAAAAAGGGTGTTGGGAAAATGGTTTGTTGGTAAACTTTATTAGGAAAGTTCACGGGAACAGAGAACCAGAGTTAGCAACTTATGTTGTAAAATGAATGATTAACCCTATTTGACTACAAAAGAAAATAAATCAAGAATTAAGGGTCTTATAATTATAAACCCAAAAAAGCAAATCTGGTTCCTACTTAAAGATAAGGCCAACTAGTAAAGTCGTGCAGAACCACCTACACAAAAACTGATAAAAAAAAATGTAAAGGCATTAAATTACTTGTGAGCAGTGGCGGCCCGTGACATTTTATTTTGGTGAGGCAGAGGCAGGGTTTCGCCCTCATTTAAAGACGAAGAAATTTTTTTAAACCCAACTTAAAAAAAAACTGACGTCGAAGTTCACAACCTATACTTAAAACTAAGTAAAAAACTTAGACTGTAGTGGGGAAGGAATCCTCTACTTTGTCAACGAAATATATTTTATTGTAAAAATGACGTACATTTTAAATAAACCTCATTTTTGTCTAATTAATATTCCATTGTTCAGCAAGAACCACGTGAAGGTCAACAATATCGGTACAATTTCTCACCGTAAATTCACTTAAATCACCAAGTTCAATTAACTAAACTCACAGAATAAACCACTTACAAAAGATTCTTTTGAAAAGAATCATAAAATAGACATACTCATAGAAAAAGAATAAACAAAATATTGCGTAAATAACCTCAGATTTGTTCTTTAAACAGTTCAGAATTTTAAAACCAAAACAAACCTATGAAGGAATCTGTATTTATTTTATTGGTTACTGTGATGGCTACAAGATGGCGAAAGTGTTAAAATATGTTTATTTTTAAATAGAAATATAATTTTGATTAAATCGATTTATTATAAGAAAAATAATACCATTTATTATTGAATTTTGAAAAACGTGTGAAGTATAATTTATCTAAAATTCCGCAACAGTGTTGCCACAACACCTGCTGATTTCCTTGGATGTAGGCGTGCCTGCCTCGCGTATGCTAATACAAGAGAAGGAGACAACTATGATATCGCATTGTAATAGAACGAAACAACAAGGCTAACGCCAATCGTGAGTCTAAATTAGTTCAGGCATTCCTCTGAGCCAATCATCTAGCTATAAATATTAATTTAAATTGGGGTCGTTTCAAATTCAAATAATTTAAATGTTGCTGGGTATTCCACGTATAAAATCAATCAATTTTATTGACTATTTCACAATTCATGTAATCCAAATATTAAAAATTTATAGTATATTATAGAAAGTAAAATATTTAAATTATACTTAATTTTTTAATTCTCTATGATGAGGCACTGCCTCACCTGCCTCCCCTGACAGCCCGCCACTGTTTGTGAGGACTCTGAGTAGCAGTGTTGCAAAAATCCTAATGTAAAAAATAATGCATTCGTCTTTTTTTTTAATGGAAATGTAATTCTAATCCATTCCCCATTAAACAAAATAATTTAAAACATTTAGTACTCATTAAAAAGTTTGCAATAAGTAATGAAACATTTTACATTACTCATTAAAAAAAGAAATGTGTAATGGGTAATGACCCATTAAATTTTTTTTCGTCAGCTTAAAAAAATCAAATTTTGGAAAAACTTTTTTGTCGATGAAAAAAATTCAAATTTTGACAATTTTAAAATAAAAAAAAAAATCAAATTTTCCATAATAATAAAAATTTAAAAAAAAAATTCTTAAAATGATTAAAATTTTTACAAAAATCGAATAAATAAAAATGTCAAAAAAATAAAAAATGTCAAATTAAAAAAAATTCAAATTTTCATAAAAATTCAAATTATGACAAAAATTCAAAAAATTTATGTATCAAATTTAATTAAAAAAATCCCTAAATATGCATTTTATAATTTTTAAACGATTAACAAATATTTTTTATCTTTATTCAATAAATAAATAAATAATAAAATCGAATAAATCCTTCTCGGAGTATATTTTAATCCTGGTTAGAGCGAATCAATTGAAAATAATCCACTCCGCATTTACTCCACTTTTTTTTACAGTGTACTGCTACTTTTTGATTGTTATTTAAATAATAACATTAAAATAAAAAATGTAATGTAAATTCTTACATTACTCGTTAGAAATTTTAAACGAGAAATGTACAAGTAATTATCCATTAAACGAAAAAAAATGAGTAGTGTAAATTACTTTCATTACTCATTATGATAAAAATGAGCAATGAAATATCATTGCATTAAAAAAAAATGCGTTTTTTGCAACTCTGCTGAGTAGCACAAGCATTACGAAGATCGGAACACAATTGAGTAATAATTATGTTCGCGAGCTAACTTAACCTTACTATTATTACCAAAAATCCCCCTATATTTTTTACATTCTGAAATTCCCATTTCCTTTTAAGAAAGATGTCTCTTTATTACATTCTTTGTATATCAAGATGCCCAAATACTGAATATTTCCCGCAAAGATGACAAATTACATTCACCGGAAAGTCAATAAAGATTGGGATAATCTCTCTTAACGATGACTTGTGAAATATATTTGGACCACCTACCGACTAACGGTGGAGCGACTCCACGTAGAGCCGGGTGTTCGCTGGCGATGTCGTGCGGACTGTGCGACCCCGTCTCCAGGATTCCGTCCCCGCTGAGCCTGTCCTCGCCCGGCGAGTTCTCCATGCCGCCCGCGTTTACGTTCGGCAGCGTCGTTGCGCCCTCTCCGTCGCCTTTGTTGTTGTTCCTCTGGCTCGACAGCACCTGCATCTCCCACATCTGTTCCTGCCTTATGTCATCGTTGTAGTCCTGAAACAAAGGAGAATTCGTCAAAGATGGCTTAAAATTAAAATATTAAAACGATAAATTTTGTAAAAAAGTTTATACCAAATAGGACCCAGATTAGCTTTAGTTAATAACAAAATTCCGCACATAAATATAAAGCTTACTTTTTCTAATAAAAATCCCACTTTTCCACTCTTAACCAAATATTGCAACCTTGTTTATTAATCCATATCCATGTGAAAGATATTCCGATATTCAAGAGTCTAATCCTATTTAGACACGCAATTCAGACTAATCTTGCATACAATATGTTTGTTAATCAATGGTTTCCTAAGGTAAATACACGATCAGATTAAGCACAGTTATAGCGCCTTCATCAAAATAAGATCTGGTATAACCCTAAACCAAACCAATAGATAAATATCTTATGTCGGATGTCGGGACAGTATTATTATGTTTAGCCAAGCCAACAGAGGGCGCGGATTTTATAATTTTTTTACGTTTCTACGTTTTTTGACCTTTTTGACGTTCAATTATATCCGTATACTATAGTTATCACATTTTTGTAAGATTTTGTGTATTTGTGTGTTTTTATTGTTTCTGAGTTTGTATTATAATAATAATAATTTATAAACGACACTTTCACCGAATCATAATCTTACAGATGGTAGGCATGCAGGGGCGTGCTGGGCCGCCGGGACACCAGGAGAAATCCGGTAAGTTTCCTGAGCGATGATAATTTGTATTAGTTTTTATTTTAAGTGCAATGCTATATGTTTTAGCATTGTGTAAAATATTGTCTGGTTGTGTTTGTTGCCTGTTTTTTTTCAAGAATTTAATTTATACTTTATGTTATTAATTATAATTATTAATAAATGTTTGAAAATTTTTAACTTGGTTTTGTTCACCCCCCATTTTTCGTGTAGTTGGCCGATTTTTCTGAATTTCCCGGGCCGGTCTGATATAGCCAGCACGCCCCTGTAGGCATGTATTGTTTAATAAAATTTATGGATTTAACAGTATTCTTCAATTTCAAAATAATGACAGTAACTTTTGGTAGACTATCATATTTCTTACCTTACTTTTGGGAATAAGTATGATAATGATTCAACGAGTTTTACAAATTAAAAAAATCACAGATTTTACAAATTAATACTAAATACACTTGTTTTACATTTACATGCATTTGTTTTCCTCATTCCTTTTCCATAAATCTGCGAATTTCTTTAGTTCCTTGAGAATTAGTAAACAGCATAACCACAAAAGTACCTTAAATACATGGTAGAAAACTAAGTTATTGTTTTCGTTAATAATTATATTTAAAATCTAGCCACAAGTTAGATTTTAAATATAGCGCCACTGAAGTAACCAATCAAATACGTTGATTTTCCACCAATTAAAAGCTATACTTTTATAAATAAAAAATTACTAACATTGTATGGAATTTATGTATATAGTATTATGAAGTTTGTTTTTAACTTAGGAAAATTCCCAACTAATAGTAATTTTCACTCATATTCCACAAGAAGTGGCTCAAGATTATGTGTTCCGTGACACACAACTTCTTTGTTTAAAAAGTCACCCTATTACCCAAATTATTATTATTATTATTATTATTATTATTATTATTATTATTATTATTATTATTATTATTATTATTATTATTATTATTATTATTATGTTGGCAACAGTTGCCTGTAAACACGTAATTTTATTTTTAACCAAGTTCAGAGGGCGCTTCATTTGGCTCCAAACTATATACTCTTTAAGATAATCATCTATTGCTTTGGTTTAGGGGTATAACTTATCTAAATTTTGAAATTTAAGTTACAAATTTTCAAATCCAATTTTTAAAAAAATCAGAAAATTTTTCAGATAATTTAACAAAATAATGCATTAATGTAAATAACACAATGTTTTTTGTAAGAAATTATTCCTTTATAGAATCCAAAAATTTGATTCATGCCAATTATGTGTTAATGATAATATTAGCCAGAAGTATATTAATTTGTGAGTCTGTTAGTCTGTGAATCGCTTTTTTTCGGTAGCTCGAAAACTGATAAAGGTGAAAATTTAAAATTTTAAGCATTTTTTTGTCCACGATACGTACGTAACAAATTTATCGGATGCAGAAAATGCCCAAGTCTATTTTTTATCATTTCGTTCAATGTCGCAACATGTTGACCGTTTAGCAAAAATAGTTTACTTTTCCTTTAAAATTTGGTAAAAAGTTACTTCGGGCTTATCTTAAGAGTTCGGTCTATCCTAAAAAGGCAAAAACAATTCAACAAAACGAGATAATATGGCATATTGGTGAGATTGAGAGCAAAATTTGGACCATCGAGTGAAGCTGAACAAAATCATAAGAATAAAGCATGATTTATAGATAACATTCCTTCCTTCCTTCCTTCCTCCCGTAAAGATGCTGTTTATAGATTCCTGTACGGTAAACGGCACTACGATTTTCGTATTGTTCATCTTTTACGAAAGGTAGAAAGGAAGGAAGGCAATCTATAAATCAGACTTAAGGGTTTTAAAATTATTGTGTTGTTTACTTCAGTTTCTTAGATTTAGATCAACCCTACGTATTTTAATTCTTACTATATGACTAATAAAAGAGCCAACCTGTTTATCTTTATCCATAGGTGTATTTTACTTGGTGAAACCATTTATTGTGGCTTGTTAAGGGAATATTTTAACTTATATAGTGTGCCCAAACTTTAGCTGTAATGCCCAATATGTAAACAAATATTCGCTAATATTTTGTTGTATATCCAAATAAATTGAGATCCTACATTGTTTGATAGAAAAATGGTGTATCATTTTCAGAACACCCAGTATAATGACCCCTTATTTAAGATTAAAAGGCTGATATGTTGTGGTCATTAAAGTGTGCAATAATTACTAACCATTCCAAGATATCTGATATTTCAAATATTCGTATTGCCGGAATAATAATAAGAGCTCTAGAATTACTAAAACACAATGAGATGACAAAATTAATTAAACTTGATGACAATGATGCATTATTAAATTAAATTGTCGTAAAAGCTGTTTACTAATTAATATTTGAATAAATTACGAGATAATAATATATTTTGTTTTGGTTAAACCAATAAATAAAATTAATGGTATTATTAATTTATGAAAAATATGAAACGTGTTAAATTAAAGCCAGGCCGATTCATAAATAAATCAAAATGGATAATTTTCCTATTAGTAGCTATTTAAATTCTGGGCTTATTTAACGCTTTCAGAATAACCTAATTAACTGAAATAGAGGGCCCAATAATCAAAATGCATGATGATTTATGCTATTTTAGGGCCTACAGCCCGACTGCAAAGTGAGTGTACAATTAGTATTTATGCGAGTCGGCTTATATTCTAAATTATTTCTCGTTCAAACGGTGTGCGTGAATTTTAATAATTCAATATAAACACTAAATTTAGCTAAACAAAGGCCCATTTGGAATAGATGAGTCTATTAACTTGAAACTACAGCTCAAACAATTTATTTAAATATCAATCTTAAGCTTCAATAGTTAACCAAATATATATATATATATAAAATATATTTTGTAGTAAATATCTTGTAATTACAATGTTTAAAAGAGTTATACATTTATAAAAGAAAACATTAACTTTATAAAGCTATGTAGCGGTGGTTTGTAATGGCAAAATTTTTGTGGTATAATCTTAATCCTCTACAAATTTTAATTTAATTGGCTCAATGGCGTAGATTTTATAATGGTTTAAATATGTAACTAAAATCTTGTTGAAGTTAAAATTTATTTTTATTTTATTTTTAAAACTATTTAAACTATAGATAGATATATCTTTATGAAATTTTATATATTAAGTATTGATTCCGCCAAAAATTCAATTTACTCAGTACCGGCGATTTTATACTTGTTTTAAAATAACAATCTTGTAAAAGTAGATCAAAATTACATTTAATTGAATCAGTAGCGGCAAAAATATACTGGTATTACCTACAGATTTAGTACAAACAACACGTAATTAATTAGATTTTATACCTTATAAACCGTAGTTTATTAGTTATTTAGAATAAAAATTATTTAACTTAATTGTTACCTAATATTTTTTTAAATTTAAAATATACTTTTGATTCTAATTAACAGGATATTTAATTAAATCAATTAGGTGTTGTTTGTGCTATACATGTAGGTTAAACCTATATATTAAATTAAAATTATTATGAATTTTATAAATATACATTGAAAAGTTTACAAAATAATTTCATTTTGTCAATTGGTACAGAATTAAGATTATTAATGAATTAAACTTGAGTTTATAATGATATTTTAATATTTTAAATGGATAAAATTTTTAATTAATTTAAACAAGATTAAAAACCCCTTAAAAAATGGCGCTAAATAATATTATTTATGATTAATCCAAAGTGCGACCAAAAAAAAAGCTGAAACGGTTTCTAAATTTTAAGCGTTCAGACCTCCCAGTAGATACTTGAAAACATTTTTAATTTCCATGTGTCGAAAAGGGCAAAATCGGCATTTGTTTATTAAAAACATATAAATTAGCAACAATTTCTTAACATCATCTAAAATTTTCACAAATTTTTTATAAATGGTTAAGAATTCTTAATGGGTGAAATAAAAAATAATTAAAATAATATTAATTTTAACATTTATTAATATTACCAATAATAATTACAAAAAACGAAAATCAGGTTTAAAATTAATTCAATTTTTTTTAATCACGCCAAAGTGAACTAAATTTTTAGATGAAAGAATACACAGATCAGTGATCGTGTCAGCCAAAACATGTGGAACAAACAATTGAATGTTGGGGACATGTCGGACACCACAATAGTAGTTTCAGCCTAAATTAGGTTTAACGGAAATATAACGTTTGCCCCTATATTAAATTTAAAAATTAATGCCGTTCTCACTATGGGTATAGTTTTTTATATTTTTGTATACCGTAAACACGGGTGACTTTGCACCCCGCGGGTGACTTTAACCCATTTATGAAAAATCTTT